CACAGTCTGTTGTGTCACATTTTGAACTTTTGGATAATGTTTGAGCTAGTACAGAAGCTAGCAGATTGTTCAGCATTTTTATTTGAAGGGTGCAAATATCAATCTCCTTTGTCTTCATTCTGGATACACCTTGGGAATTTAAGCAACAACATAAATTTGTCAAATGTTTCATTATTCCAGTCCTCTAAAACAAAGTGTACTTTACAGTATGTAACAAAAGTATTACACATATGTATTCAGTATACTTCTTTATTTTATTACACTAATATATAAACAGTTAATACTTAGTCATTATTATAATATATAAGTAAATACTATATAGTATATTATAGTAAGTAGAAAGGGTTAAATATATAAGTATATAAATTAATTTGTGTTAATTTGTAAAAAAGTTACTGTGCATTTTTTTTGATCACTTTTATTAAGTTAACTTAAACTAGCATTTTATATTTAAATGAATGAATGAATGAATGTTATAATTTAGTATTTAGTATATCCTCCTTAAGCTTTTACTAATGTATAAACTCTTCTAGGCATACTAGTATATAAAGCTACAATATAATTCTTATCTATCTGATACTATTTCTTCTGTAAAGCCTCCCACATTTTATAAGTATTCCTTAGAAGTGGGTTCTGAGCTCATACTTTCTTGTCAAGGTAATGCCAGACATGTTCAATGATATTCATGTCTGGACTCAAAGGTGCCTAGTCAAGGAGTTTGATATGTTTTTATTGTAACCATTTTAAGGTCACTCAAGATTTGTGTTTTAGATCTCTATCCTGTTGAAAGATAATCTTATCCTTCTGAATGTTGTAGTCAGAGAGGGTGCTAAGGTGTGATTCCTGAAGGATTTGGATGTATTGGCCTGAATCCAAATTACTGTTAATACAATAAAGCTGTCCTACTCTATGTGTAATAATGTATCCCTAAACCATAATATGCCCTCCCCTGTTCTTTGCATACAATGAATCCTTCTTCCTCCTGTAGACTATAGTCCTTCTATCTGACTTGAATATATTGATTTTCGTCTTTTCCAAGAAGATTACTTTTTACTATTGTGAAATGGTCCAAAATCAATACTTGCTTGCCTAGTATCTCCTGTAGGAAATGTATGTTTTAGACAAGTATGGTTTAATGAGAAGGACTTAGACTACTACTCCATACCACTTAAGAGTATGTTGAATTGTTTGTACAGAAACTTTTAGAAAGTACTTGTGTTTGAGATTGGATGTATCCTTTACTTAACTAGATACAAGTAAATAAACAGTATAGTATAACTTGTGAATGTTGAATTTGCTTGGACAGCCTTGTTTTGGCTTGGTGTAGTATGGACTAGAGTGTTTAAGCAGTTTGTAGTAGTTCTGAGATACTGTCAACACATTACAACCAAGTTTTTTTGCAATTTCAGTATTAGTCAAACCAGTCTTCTTCCAGCCTAAGATACATTGCTTTTTTGTTAGAGTAAGATATAGAGCCATTACAGCAGATCCAGAGTAGTCTGAATTGAGCAAAACAGTAGGTATTATTAATAATGGTAGGGTATTAGGATGGCACAATGTTCAGTGTAATAGTACAACCAAAAAAAATGCACATGACTCTTCACACAATCTTACATGTAAAATCTGATATAATAATACATTTCTTTCTTTTTTATTATTATAATTATTATCTTAATATCTTCTATTTAAACATCACGAAAAAGTCTTAACAGTTGTATTAGATTATAACCTAGTACATTTTTTACTTTTTGTAAATTTTGTAAAAGTGATAATAACTTAGATAGTAGTTTTCACAAGTTAATTATAATTTAGTACAAGTAAAGTGAGAATCCAGAATAGTTATTAAAATTACTGATATTAATTATGATTGTACAAATTGTCAAGATATATAAGTGATTATAACATACCTCTCAAAATAATAATGTTAAAATATACTTATTATCTTTTGACAGTATAGTATTATCTTACAATATATACAAGTCATTACAAGCATCTGGATAGATTGCTTCTGCTTTGCATACAATTTTGTATCAAATAATTAATAAATGTAATTATATTTAATTATTTAATACAAAAAGATAGTGAATATTATATTATTTCTACAGTCCCAATCCCTACACCACTAGCAGCCTCTGCCTTGTTCCTCTGCAAGCAGAATTCATGTT